TCCCCTCAATACGGTGCAGTTGTCCTGTCCCCTTTGCAGAAAAGCATCCCCAAAGAATGATGTTTCCACCTCCATGTTTCACGGTTGGGATGGTGTTCTTGGGGTTGTACTCATCCTTCTTCTTCCTCCAAACACGGCGAGTGGAATTTAGACCAAAAAGCTCTATTTTAGTCTCATCAGACCACATAACCTTCTCCCATTCCTCCTCTGGATCATCCAGATGGTCATTGGCAAACTTCAGACGGGCCTGGACATGCGCTGGCTTGAGCAGGGGGACCTTGCGTGCGCTGCAGGATTTTAATCCATGACAGCGTAGTGTGTTACTAATGGTTTTCTTTGAGACTGTGGTCCCAGCTCTCTTCAGGTCATTGACCAGGTCCTGCCGTGTAGTTCTGGGCTGATCCCTCACCTTCCTCATGATCATTGATGCCCCACGAGGTGAGATCTTGCATGGAGCCCCAGACCGAGGGTGATTGACCGTCATCTTGAACTTCTTCCATTTTCTAATAATTGCGCCAACAGTTGTTGCCTTCTCACCAAGCTGCTTGCCTATTGTCCTGTAGCCCATCCCAGCCTTGTGCAGGTCTTCAATTTTATCCCTGATGTCCTTACACAGCTCTCTGGTCTTGGCCATTGTGGAGAGGTTGGAGTCTGTTTGATTGAGTGTGTGGACAGGTGTCTTTTATACAGATAACGAGTTCAAACAGGTGCAGTTAATAAAGGCAATGAGTGGAGAACAGGAGGGCTTCTTAAAGAAAAACTAACAGGTCTGTGAGAGCCGGAATTCTTACTGGTTGGTAGGTGATCAAATACTTATGTCATGCAATAAAATGCAAATTAATTACTTAAAAATCATACAATGTGATTTTCTGGATTTTTGTTTTAGATTCCGTCTCTCACAGTTGAAGTGTACCTATGATAAAAATTACAGACCTCTACATGCTTTGTAAGTAGGAAAACCTGCAAAATCGGCAGTGTATCAAATACTTGTTCTCCCCACTGTATGTGTTCACTACCCAGAAAACCCAGTGATTTATAAAGGGGCTCCAGAGTGCTACAGGTGGCTTTGGAGAAGTCTCACTTTCTCTGCTCTCTTTGTCACGTTACCCCGCTCTCTTTCTCTACCTGCCTATCCGGTGCATCTAGGTCCAGTTCTTCTGTTGTCCCCTAGCTGGCTGGTCCTCTGTGCTCTTTGTTTGTGAGCCTCCGCGCTCCTTCTGGCATGCCAATCACGGGGTAGGAAAGTTCCGACGCTCGGCGTGCTATCACGGTCTGAAAACGCTGGCCGTGTTTTTATATAAACCCAACGTTTATTACGACAACAACCCCAGAGATCGCTGTGAAACCGCCTCGTTGTATAGTTTAATTGTACAGACAGATACATGGTATGGATTAAGGTGTGATGTTTTGAGGAGCAGCGTAGACAAATCAGCCTCCACAGGGGGGAAGCGCGTAACTGTCAACCCTAGCACCGAGCTGTGTTTTGGTTTGACTGGTGTTTTGAGGTCTAGGGCCTGCGGCCTAAATGGCACCTTAATCCCTATATAGTGCACTACCCCCTCATCAAAAGTAGTGCACTATATAGGGAATAGGGTGCTATTTGGGACACACCCCTAGAGGTTCATCCCCACTGAGAAACCACCGTTATCTGATCTGTTCCCAAACACAATGAAGCCCCTCGCGATATCTAGGTTCTATTTATCCCAGTAGTAGCTCTCATATTAAATTACTCGTGTTTAGACTTTGTTTGTCTTAGTAACAAATGCAATATCATATGTTATGTCATTCTCATGACATGGTCATTTAGCTTATGTTTTAATAGTCGTATAGCATCCAGTTATCCTGTAGCACCTGTCAGTGAAGTGGGACGGATGTTGACCTATTGACCTCATGGTTGTTATATCGCCAATCAATATCTTGCCACTAGATGCATATGAATTCCCCCAGACCTGAAGAGAAATCAGAAAATCTGTTGCTGCCAATTTGTTAGAAATGGATAAAACAATGAATAAGAAGCAAGCCTGGATATGGAGGAAAGTTAGACCAACATCACTTCCAGACATTATTTGAACAAACTTCGTTACATTTTTCATGTCCCCCTGGTGTAACATAACTGTCTGAGTATTTGAGTCAAATGTTGCGCCGCTTTATCCTGTGACGAAATCGGCCTTAAATGGGTGAGAGGTAAGCCTGTGCGTGAGCCTGCTATAACAGGGCCCATGTGTGATGTAAAGCAGTCTTTTAAGAAACCAGACTACAGGGACACTAGGTGAAAGTTTGTACACACACACACATACATGGATGAGCACGCAGAGAGCAGGCACATCATACTGTAATGGTGTGTGGGTCAGCTGTTTGTTTATCTGTACCTGCCCGCAATTGCTAATAACCCATCCGCAACCGCCCAACTATATGTGAAAATCTGTGGCCCGACCCTAACCTGCTAATATTGAAAATGTGCTGTAAGCTGCGGTCAGAGACTGCAGAATGATTTTTTGAAAGTTCTGTCATCTCTGCTTCAAAGACGTTTAGGGACTGGGAGAAATACAATACCTAAAAAAAAAGATTCTGTGCAAAATGTTCAAATAACATCGGTTTGACCAGTTGTAATGAAATAGAAAGCTGTGAAAACGACCCAACATGTTTCTGATAAGATTTCAGTTCAGCTTGGATGCATATTTTATGTGGTTGACATGCTATTAGCTTTTATGATGCTGATAAAGATAGCACCTCTACAGACGGTATATAACTGGACATTTGCATTCTCTTAAATGCTGGAAGAAATAAATCATATTTCTCTACTCTTGTTCCAGAGTAAACATTTTGCCTACATTTGGTGTATGATTTTACTGCAAGTAATGCTTAATTCTGCAGGAGTAAATATTAAGGCTATGTGAGAGGTTATAGACCTACAGTCAATATCCCTTGAACTTTAAATTATATATTTTTTCCTACAGATCTACACAACCTACTCCACATTTCCAAAGTGAAAGAACATTTTCCATAAATAAATTAAAATGAAATATCATAATTGGGTAAGTCTCCACCCCCCTGCGTTAATACTTGGTGGAAGCACCTTTGGCAGCCATTACAGATAGGAATAATTTGGAATAAGATTTTACCAACTTTGCACAACTTTCAGGGCAACATACACTGAGTATACAAAACATTAGGAACACCTTCCTAATATTGAGTTGCACCCCCTTTTGCCCTCAGAACAGTCCTCAATTCGTTGGGGCATGGACTCTACAAGGTGTCGAAGGCGTTTCACATGGATGCTGGCCCATGTTGACTCCAATGCGTCCCACAGTTGTCAAGTTGGCTGGATGTCCTTTGGGTGGTGGACCATTCTTGATACACACGGGAAACTGTTGCGCGTGAAAAACCCAGCAGCTTTGCAGTTATTGACACACTCAAACCGGTGCGCCTGGCACCTGCTACCATACCCCGTTCAAAGGCACTTAAATCTTTTGTCTTGCCCATTCATCCTCTGAATGTCACACATACACAATCCATGTCTCAATTGGCTTAAAAATCATTATTTAACCTACACTGATTGAAGTAGAGTTAACAAGTGACATCAATAAGGCATCATAGCTTTCACCTGGATTCACCTGGTCAGTCTGTTATGGAAAGAGCAGGTGTTCCTAATGTTTTGTACACTACGTGTATATCTATTGTTTTTGTCAATGTTCTCAAGCTCATTATATTTGCTTGGAAATCATTGATGGACAGCAATATTAAAACCTGGTCTCAGATTTTGTAAAGCAGATTTAAGTCAGGACTGAGACTAGACCACTCAGGAACACTTAACACCTCTTGGAAAGCCATTCTGGTGTTTCTTTACCTGGACTTTGCTCCGTTCACATTTATTTTGATGCTAACATATTTATTTTGATCCCCACCCCTGCCGGTGACAAACATACCCATAACATGATGCTGCCACCATATTACTTGAAAATACTCAAGAATCAACATCATTGCATTCACTCCATGTTACTGGCCTCTATGACAAAGTGAAAAAGAAAGAAGCCTGTGTTAAAAAAATCCCCTCCAAATCATCCATTCTGTTTGCAACAAGGCTGTTAAGTAATACTGCAAGACAACACAGCAAATCAATTATATTTTTGGCCTAAATTAAAAACTACAGGGTTGGGTCAAATCCAATATAACACAACACAGAGTGAAACCCTCTTTATTGTGTTGGCAGCATCATGTTATGGGTGTGCTTGTCATCGGCAGGGACTGGGGAGTTTGTCAGGATCAAAAGTAATATGAAAGGAGCAAAGCCCAGGTAAAAGGTTTGAGGAAAACCCACCTCAGTCTAATGAAAACCTAACCCTGGGATAGTTTTAATGCCAAAGACACACCAGAATGGCTTTCCAAGAGGTGTTGAGTGTTCCTGCATGGTCCTGTCTCAGTCCTGACTTAAATATGCTTGAAAGTCAGAGACAAGGTTTGAATATTGCTGTCCTTCAATGATTCCCAACCGAATGTAATGAGCTTGAGACATTTTGACAAAAACAATGTTATGTTGCCCTAAGAGTTGTGAAAAGTTGGTATAATCTTATTCCAAATGATTCAAAGCTCTAATGGCTGCCAGTGGTGTTTCCACCAAATATTACTCAGGGGGATGGAGATTTATCCAATTATGATATTTCAGTATTTTTTTGTTCTTAATTTGTAACTTTCTTTCACTTTGAAAATGTGGAGTATGTTTTGTAGGGGGTGTATACTTTCTATAGGCACTGAATGCATACACACGCACACACATAATAATCAACAATGACTAACTCGTCATACATTTTGTATTATGTGTGTTTTGTTAGATCTGTGTACGGAGATGGCTCAGAATTGTCTTTTGATTATATCAAAGTAACCCTGCAGAATGGCTTGGACATTTGGAAATGTGTCCTTTGATGCTGCTGTTGTGGTTGACTCGTTGTATTCCCAGATCCTTAGCTCAACATCAATCTCTTTCTCTCCCTCTCTCTCTGCAGAAGCATGCACAAGCTCACCCAGCTGGAGAGGTTGGACTTGGGGAGTAACGAGTTCACTGAAGTGGTGAGTGTCTGTCTCTGTCGTGCCCTCGGCTGAACCTCAGTACTCTAAAGTCAGTGGCTTCCTGAATTGTTGTAAATGAATTGAGCTCTCATTTCTCTCCATTTCTGTCCCTCTCTCTTTCTCTCTTCCCACTCTTTCTCTCCACTCTCTTTCTCTCTCTTGCCCCTCCCTCCCTACCCCCAGCCTGAGGTATTGGAGCAGCTCACTGGAATCAAAGAGCTGTGGATGGATGGAAACAGACTGACGTTCCTACCAGGGGTAAGATGATGAACCGCCATTCAACTCCCCACAGGCTTATTCTTCCTGTGCACTGCCTCGGCTTTCACACCGTCCTACCTACAGTATGGTGATGAAACATTCCCCAGAGACACAAACTGTGTGAAAACTCAAAACTGCTTTGTTCAAGCCAACATAGTAAGATATTATTAAAGACGTTTTGCTGCCTGTCCAACATCATAAGATTAATGTTGCAAATGACGAATCCACAGACCAATTAATCTGTTGGTTCAAAGTCGTGTGATTCAAACGATTGTGTTTTGTTGTGATTCGTCGTCGTCAGCCCATGTTGTGTTGCGTAATGCCTCTCGCTCATGGAAATGGCCAGCTTGTTTGGTAAATAGGTCATAATTAATACATTAGCGCGCCGCAAGCATTTCGACAGCACCACCACCAACCCCGTAATCACATGCTGTTCCTCTGTTAGGATTAGGATTACTGACTACTGCCTGGCCTCACTGTAGAACATTATTAAAGAATGCCTCAAACCATGCCTAGGAACGGTGCGATGTACACTGCATTTCACTGCGCTAGTGTTTGTTATAATGAAATTGAAATTACTGTTTAATTATGAAACGAAATGCTCCTCAAAACAATGCAGCCAAGGGGCCTCCCGAGTGGCGCAGCGGTCAAAGGCACTGCAGTGCTTGAGACGTCACTACAGATCCGGGTTCGATCCCGGGCTGTGTTGCAGCCGGCCGCGACCGGGAGACCCATGAGGCGACGCACAATTGGCCCAGCTTCGTCCGGGTTAGGGGAGGGTCTAGCCAGCCGGGGATGTCCTTGTCCCATCGCGCTCTACCGACTCCTGTGGCAAGCCGGGCGCATGCACACTGACACGGTCGCCAGTTGTACAGTATTTCCTCCGACACATTGGTGCGGCTGACTTCCGGGTTAAGCGAGCAGTGTGTCAAGAAGCAGTGCGGCTTGGCAGGGTCGTGTTTCGGATGGACAAGACTGTATCTACCAATTTGGATATCACAATAATAAAAAATAAAGAAAACAACGCAGCCAGACCATTCTTTCTCCTTTCCTTTTGTCTTTCCTTCTTTCCCGTGTTCAGGCTCATGTTAGGTTCTACTTTTGTGGATCTGTTTGTGTTTGTGTGTACACGTTTGACTATACTTGTGAGTACCAGAAGTCCTCATTTTTTCATAACAAACACTATTTTAGGCTTTAGGGTTAGAGGTTAGGGAAAACAATATTTGCTCCCCAAAAAGTCCTCACAAGTATTGTAAGACATAGCTGTGTGTGTGTGTGTGGGTATGAGGTGGTGAATGGTGATTAAGGACAGTGAGCCCCTGAAACCTCCCCTCAGCCTGTACTGGAACATTGATTTGTTTAATCAATGTGGAGGGAAGGGTTAGTGTGTCACACACAAATGTACAAAGACACTGAGATTGCAAGCTTTCAGGTTCCTGTGTTCAGATTGGTCAGGCCAGGGGTATTCCTGTGACTGTTTTAATTCTGAGTTAATTCTGAGTTCAATTAACACCGTCAGCCCCGCCCCCTCGCCGCAATCCTCTCTGTTACTCTTTTCAATGTGCTTGCCCTCACGCATGTGTGTGTTCTCCAGAGGCTGGGCACTCTGAAGCAGCTGACCTACCTGGACGTGTCCAAGAACAACCTGGAGATGGTGGATGAGCAGATCTGTGGCTGTGAGAGCCTGCAGGACCTGCTGCTGTCTAACAATGCCCTCACACAGCTGCCAGGATCCATAGGTGAGTGGCTACACACACACACACACACACACACACACACACACACACACACACACACACACACACACACACAGACTGGCACATATATACACACATACCGACAAAGACAGGGCTCCCGAGTGGCGCAGCAGTCTAAGGCACTGCATCTCAGTGCTTGAGGCGTCACTACAGACCCCCTGGTTCGATTCCAGGCTGTATCACAACCGGCCGTGATTGGGAGTCCCATAGGGCGGCACACAATTGGCCCAGCGTCGTCCGGGTTTGGCCGGTGTAGGCCGTCATTGTAAATAAGAATTTGTTCTTAACTGACTTGCCTAGTTAAATAAAGGTTAAATAAAATAAAAAAAGACAGATAGACCGGCACGAATACACAAACACCCACACATAGTGCCCATCTCTTTACCACATGATAAAGGCAGTATGACATAGCTCAGTGACCTCAAGCCAAGCCATTGTTGATGTGTGTCTAATGAACATGGTTGGTTGTTGGAGGTGAAGCGGAATATTGGCTTTAATTGAATCTCATTCTGGAATGAATGACTCGCCTAGATGCATATTGAAGAAGTGGACTTCCAGAAGCATGATGCTTTACCAAAGCTGTTTTCTGTTCCATCCCCCATTTTATATTTATATGGTATGAATATCTAAATATCTGATAACATTTTACGGGGATATGTGTTCATGGCAGCCCTCTTGGAATTGTATGTCTAAGCATTCAGCTGTTCGTAAAACCAGTCATAGTATTGTTGTTGGTATTAATTATTAATCTGTTGCATTACTGGAATGGATGCTCCTCTTTTTGTGATCCAGCTGAGATTCAGAATCAATTTCTGTGTGCACTGTAGTGGTGTGTTACCTAATGTGCTATTTATCTTTATTTCTCTCGTCCTACCCCTCTCTCTCTCTCTCTCTCTCTCTCTCTCTCTCTCTCTAGCGTCTCTCTCTCTCTCTCTCTCTCTCTCTCTCGCTCTCTCTCTCTCTCTCTCTCTCTCCCCCCCCTCTCTCTCTCTCTCTCTCTCTCTCTCTCTCCCCCCCCACTCTCTCGCTCACTACCCCTCTCTCTCTCTACCCCACTCTCTCTTTCTACCCCACTCTCTCACCCCCACCCCCCCCCTTTCTCTTTCTCCCTCTTCCTCCTTCCTCCCCTCCCTCCCTCTTCCTCCTTCCCTCCCTCCATCTCAGGCTCCCTGAAGAAACTAACCGCCCTGAAAGTGGATGAGAACCAGCTCATGTATCTGCCCGACTCTGTCGGAGGGTGAGTGCTACTCAGTACTACTACAGCCATCGTTTTAAAACAACCAGACCCATCCTGATTGGTTTGCATTGATCCTCATCTAATCATATCACAGAACGCTGCAGTACAGTACACCAATATAGGGCTAGGTTTGATTAATTGACCTAAGCCCCTTGTCCCATTGACCTCATTCTACACGTGCCAGATATGAGACGATTCATGGTCGTCGGTGGATTGTAGGGGTTGAGGCGTTAGTCCCAATGATTTAGGTGAGTGAACTAAGCCTGGCTGCCCTATTGTGGATGGGTATGATTGTAGTCCTGACCCCAGGAACCTCTTAATACCGTATTGACTGATTAAAGCCTCCGTTTAATTCTGCTTCGCCAATATTCAACTACGACAGGTGAGGCCAGCTGTTGGCGGTTGACTGCTGTTTCCGGGTGACACGGAGGTCAATACAGGCTGGGACTTGACCAAGTTTAGACTTGACCTCTGTAGAAGAAAAGGAAAAGCCACACACTCTAATAGCGCCAATGCAATCATTTACCAACGCAAGACTTGAACTCTGACTATAGACGTGATCATCCATATGGAGCGACAAAGACATTACATTTTAATCCATCAACATAGTATGTGTGGTAGCCAACTAGCATTTAAAGAACTACAGTGATGAATTGGCAACTAGGTTTATACATTTGATATGTTTTATTAAAAAAACTTCTGGGCAGGATTATAAATATGTGATTGCAAGGGGAACCGTGGTTTAATTCCAGACCAGGATTGTAAAGCATACTGATTAAATGCATTTAATTTTGTATTTTGTTAATTTGTTTTACATTTTGATTTGTGTTCTACGTCCTACACTCTTGTTGGTCCCTGGTCTTGACTTCTGAGCATACTGATTTAAATGCATTTAATCTTGTATTTCATTCAATTTGCTTTATCTTGATTTGTGTTCGACGGCCTACACACTTGTTTGTCCCTGGTCTTGACTTCTGAGCAGTGGAATCTGATCTTTACTCGGTTGCTATAGAGAATATGGAGAATGATAGAGGAGAACAACTTGTGTTCTAGTACTATCAGCTATTATTATCCCACAGCCTTTGGTGACTGGCCAGCTAGCAGGAAGTCCATCTCACTTTGCCTTTAGACATTTTTCATCCCACAGAAATCCCCAGCTGCATATGAGCCTTTTCTCCTAGCTTCTCTGTTTTCAATGGAACTTTATTGTCAGTTTTTCTGGGAAATTGAGATTTGTCGTCTGCCTTTTCCCAACCCATGCATGCATGCACGCACATGCGTACACACACACAAACATACTGAGAGGCACAGGGTCAACTGCAGCAGGATGCGTACTCAGAGCATGCACCGACCAGCTGGCAAGTGTCTGCGCTGACATTTTCAACCTCTCCCTGGCCCAGTCTGAAATACGTACATGTTTCAAGCAGACCACCATAGTTCTACAGCTCAGTGTTCAACACCATAGTGCCCTCCAAGATCATCACTAAGCTCAGGACCCTGGGGCTCAACACCTACCTCAGCAACTGGATCCTGGACTTCCTGATGGACCGCCCCCAGGTGGTTAGGGTAGGCAACAACACTTCCACCATGCTTACCCTCAACACGGGGGGCTGCTCAGGGGTGCATGTTTAGTCCACTCCTGTACTCCCTGTTCACCCAACACCATTATTAAGTTTGCTGACGACGTGCCGGTAGTAGGCCTGATCACCGACAACGATGATGCAGCCTGTAGGGAGGAGGTTAGTGACCTGGCAGTGTAGTGCCAGGACAACAGCATTTCCCTCTAAGTCAGCAAGACAAAGGAACTGATCGTGGACTACAGGAAACTGAGGGTCGAGCATGCCCTCATCGACATTGACGGGGCTGTAGTGGAGCGAGTTGAGCGTTTCAAGTTTCTCAGTGTCCACATCACTAAGGAATGAACATGGTCCACACACACCAACACAGTCGTGAAGAAGACACGACAACGCCTCTTCCCACTCAGGAGGCTGAAAAGGTTTTTGGCCCTCAGATCCAAGTTCTACAGCTGCACCATTGGCTGCATCACCGCTTGGGATGGTAACTGCTTGGCATCTGACCGCAAGGTGCTACAGAGGGTAGTGCGCACGGCCCAGTACATCACTGGGGCCGAGCTCCCTGCCATCCAGGACCTCTATGCTGCTGCTACTGTTTGTCCTGTTGCCTAGTCACTGTACCCCTAGCTATATGTACATATCTACCTCAATTACCTCGTACACATCGACTCAGTACTGGTACCCCGTGTATATAGCCACGTATCTTTACTCATTGTGTATTATTCCTGGTGTTATTTTTGTAGTATTTTTCTATTTCTATCTTCTCTCTGCATTGTTGGGAAGGGCCCGTAAGTAAGCATTTCACTGTTAGTCTACACCTGTTGTTTAAGAAGCATGTGACAAATACAATTAATTGATTGCCTGTGCCCAGGGTTCCAAATTAACGTTTTTCATTGGTAGCACTGGTGCTCCCAAATGTTTTAAAGTTAGTAGCATCACATGAAATTTAGGAGCCCCAGAATGTTTTGATTTTATTGATTGAGATAGTCTATATTGAGCCTGTATGAATTCTAGCTACTTTTGAAGCACATGTTGTGCCCTAGAGACGAATATGTAACACTGTAAATACTTTAGTTTATTATAAAAGCTAAAGTGTGGATACGAATACCTGTCATTGAAATTACAAAGTAATTTGTGGAATATTAGGTTTCGACATTGTGTAAAAGCGCTATTGTCCTATTGAGATGCATTACATTGAAAATTGTACACGGTCTCTTTAAAAACGTCCGGTTTGTGATGAAGACATGCAAGGATCTGTCATTCATGCTTTGCTATGATCATTCATTTCCAGAAGAAGCTATCCCTTTTCCTTTCTTTCTGTGCCCCCAGATGTTTGGATATACTGGTGAAGTTACCAGGTTCTCCTTTAGGGCACTTGGAAACAATGGTACAGCGAAGCCTTATCATTACAACAATTATTATCTGGGAGATGTTTTTTTGGGTCCTCTGTGCTCCCAAAATAAAACTGCTGGTCGAACAGCATATTTGGTCGCATATGCTTAACCTAATGTAACTCAGGCTTAACCTAACATAACAGGCGTAAAATAACCCCCAGAAACTAGATCCCCCTACATACTGGTCTTGACGAGAAGGGAAAAAAAACTATTGGGGGGGGTTCTCTTCTGCACTGTTTAACCAATCCAGTAAATGTGGAGGAGGAGTTAAGATGGAGTGTCGCCTTGTTAACGTCCAAAAGCGGAAGTCGCGTCACATGCTATCTTTCCATTTCCCCTCAAGAACCGGAACATCCGGTTGATTGATTGGGACTCAGCAGAGGCTACTCTGGCTCAAATCCTGCTTAAATTCCACGTGAACCATCTATGCGCAGGCGCAGTATGTATTTTCATATTAATGCTGGAATAAAAACGCCAGATCTATTCAGAGTATGCTAGCTTGCATATTCCTGAGCAAAACAGAATAATGAGAACCAGATACAGTATTGAAGAGTTTCGGATATAGAATAACCTCTTCTCCAGCGAGTCTTCTAGTCACAGAATAATCATTCACTCTTTTTTCATGAATAATATGCCGTATAGTGCAGTCCTAGATAGTTATGGCAGCTGACAGTTAAGACAGAAGTAGGGCTTATGTTAGTCAGAGGTAGGCCATTTGACAGGGGCCAAAGATTCTAAGGACTGTTGGCTAGTTCGAGCAAAATACCTTTTTAGGACTTCCCTCACTATGGTATAAAACTGTCTCACGTCCCTCGCGATAAATCGCCTCTAGAATCAATTAATCAACCAAATGAAATGCCCTCCCCACACTAAACACCTTTTTTTATCTTTTCCTCCTTTTCTGCCTGTCCTCCTCCTTTCCCTCTGTTTCTTCTTCCTCCTCCTCTTGTTCTTCCTCTGTAGGCTGGCAGCCCTGGATGAGCTGGACTGTAGTTTTAACGAGATTGAGGCTCTGCCATCCTCCATCGGACAGTGTGTCAGCATACGCACCTTCGCCGCTGACCACAACTTCCTCACACAGCTGCCCCCAGAGGTGAGCATTGGGCTCACACAGTGTGTTTGCGAGTGTTGGTGTTTGTGTGTCGGTGTGTGTCTGTGTTATTATGTGCCCGCTGTGCTGTGTGCTTATGTACAAAATATCAATTGTGTGTTGGGTGTGTCCGCGTACATCAACTTATCGTGTCCGGCCCCAGCTGTGTGCTGATGTCCTATCCCTCCTATCCCCACATCACTCAGATGGGCAGCTGGAAGAGTGCCACTGTGCTGTTCCTGCACTCCAACAAGCTGGAGTCTCTGCCCGAGGAGATGGGAGACATGACCAAGCTCAAGGTCATCAACCTAAGTGACAACAAGTGAGTCTAGCCTTCCTGTCTCTACTCCTCAGCCCGGTGGCAGTCCAGTCAGATTGTCAATGCAATCTGGAAAGCAGCCAGGCAGGCAGGCAGGGGACCAGAGGTGATGGGTCTCTTTTATTTTTATTTACAAAATCTGTCATTCTTCATACACAGTCTTATCCAGGTTTGGCGCAACTCTCCCATGTCGCATCCCCCGTACTCATGTTTTGCCCCCCCCCCCCCCCATCTCACCCCGCTACACTCCTTATCCCAGCTAAGACAGGGGAACAATAATCACATAACACAGGGGTTACAAATGAGTATACGGTAGGCGTTGTTGAAAATGTGACTACAGTGGCAGCGCAAATTAATCTGTAGTACATTTACATTTACGTCATTTAGCAGACGCTCTTATCCAGAGCGACTTACAAATAGGTGCATTCACCTTATAGCCAGTGGGATAACCACTTTACAATGTAATTTTATTTATTTATTTTTTGGGGGGGGGTGGTTGGAGTAAAGGGGGGGGATGTGGGGGGGTAGAAGGATTACTTTATCCTATCCCAGGTATTCCTTAAAGAGGTGGGGTTTCAAATGTCTCCGGAAGGTGGTGAGTGACTCGTACTAGTGGCATAGAGGTAACACATTTGTCAGAGTTGAATGAAGAGTCACAGATGCTGCAGGAGAGGCTACGCATACGTTCTCTCTCTGCAAGGGAGGTGTGACACATTTCCACACACACAGTATTTACTTTACTTAGTCTAGTTCACATGCAGCTGAAACTGGGATGTTTATGAATAAAACAAATGGTTGAAAAACCATAAGCGGTACCCTGGCAAAAGCCCAAACTACATAGCATCACGTTAACCCAATCTTTCATCTGTGGAACATTAAGACACAATGCATTACGGCAACTTTTGTATTGTTGTGAACATCACTCAAATCAATTTGATCGCTAACTTTTCCCATTGTTTCTGGTGTTCTCAGAGGGTTTAATTGGAGCGCTCGAACAGTCGACACTAGTTTAACACAGTAGTTAAAATAGCAGCAGTCTACCAGCTGCTCCCTTTATTGTGCAAAGCCACTCTACCGTTGCCACATGGTGCCTTGTAAAACATGTCCTTCCAGCTTATTGGAACCAGCGCTGGCAGCAGAGCAATCTCCCTCTGCTGTGCCTGCCACCAAAGTGGATTATATAAGGTGCTGAAAACACACACATGGGCTGTGTGTGAACAATGGGGAAAAATAATCAGAATGCATTCCCCAACTTTGCGGACAAACACACTTACACACACTCCCTGAGACCCTGGAAGTGAATCATTTGGTGCATAATGATACAGGCGTTAAAGCCTCGGACCAGGAAGATAACATTTGGACCAGGAAGATTGAGTGGGTTGATTTCAGATGCTCACAAAACCCCTATTCCTTCCTGATGGTGGTTATTTCCAGGTGTTTTTCCAGGCAAGGCCACAGACACTCTAGCCGCTCCGGTCCTCTCACTGCCAGCAGCTCTAAATAGATTTGACCATGACTCAGCAGTAACCCTGCAGCCTGCTGTAAATTAGTTCCCATCCTCCAGTTTTTACAGAGCGAAAGAGACCTATTACCCCGGGACCACTCATTTGTCATTACCACTTTGGCCTTGGAGACACATTGACACAGCACCTGTTTCCTACCTGTTCAAGATCAAGCTTTATTTATACAGCACATTTCTGACATGAAATGCAACACAATGTGCTTCACAAGAAAAAACGAATAAAAACAATGAACATTTTTACTACACAACAAACATAAGAGGATAGTTTATCTGATTCTCTGTGCACTTTAGAAAGTTCTCCTGTAGATGTTAGATCAATGGCACTCAAAGATTTGGGCCATTATTTATATTGGACAGCAGTGTGTTAAAGTGTGGTTAAAGTTATTATGCATGCATAAACATGGTCATGTCTCATATTACACCCTATTCTCTAAATAGTGCTTTTGGTTGTTAGTTGTTATCTGTCCCATATCTTTCTCAGGTGGATAATGTGCAGGGTGACTTTAACTGTAATACTTTCTCTGTGTTTGTGTCTCCAGGTTGAAGAACCTTCCCTACAGTTTCACCAAGCTCAACCAGATGACTGCTATGTGGCTGTCTGAGAACCAGGTGTGTACACAGCCTCTTGGCTTTCACTTCCACCATGGGGCTTTCAGTACTTTATACTGTATTCCATGTAGGCTTATTTCTTTACTCGTAGGGAAATCTCTGTTAATTGTTTGTATGGAGCATCAACGTGCTTGTTGTACGACCCTCTTGTTTCAAAAGCCTCCCTGCAGTATCATGAGAATGCGATGAGTGCGAGGGAGATCTGTAATTGAATGTCTGACGCACACACACACGAGTGGTCTCTGTGCTGCACTCAAACGTGTGAGAGGCAGTGCACTTCCATGTCTCTCTACTTCTCAAACGGCGTAATAAAAAATGCCAAACCCCTACAGTAACTCCAGATACCATGCCATGGCATATTTAGTCTCTTGTGATTATTTAGGCCCAACAATCAGCCAGTGCTGACGGAGGCATTGATAGCGTTACCCACTGTTACCTCACACACGATGGTGGTCATTGTGGAAAGCATGGGGATTGGTGGTAATTTTCTGGGGCAAGAAAACGAGCGACCAAGTGTAGTGGTGCAACCCGCAGCTCCTGACAGCCAGCCATGGACTAATCCCATTGGATAGAGTACAACCTGCCAAAACTCAGATTAAACGCAATAAAACACTTCCATGGCATCTAATCCTACAGACACACCATATGGCACAGGGGGCCTTTCTCTAAAGCTGAAAACTAAAAGCCACTGATCACTTGCTGTGTTGAGAAGATTTGACCAGAGCGGGAGAGAGCGAGAGGCTCTCTCTAAAACAAAAAAGCATGTTTTGATTGAATATAGGTGGATGGACACATGTTATTCCAGCAACCCGCTTTTTCAGAGCACCCCTAAAGAATAATAAATGTTGTAATTGTAGCCCTGTGCCCAGAGCAGGAGTGCTAATTTAGGATCAGTTTTGCCTTCCAGATCACAATGAATAAGACTGGAGGGACAGGATCCTAGATCAGCAAACTTTGTGAAAACGGTTCCAGTTCTTTCCCAGTGGGTTCTGATTAGGAGTGTGTGGCAATGTGATCAGGGGCTAACTCCTGCCAGCTGGGTTCTTTATTGATTGTTATCTAATGTAGTTTGAGAGCCAAACATGCGCACGCACACACACACACACACACACACACACACACACACACACACTACAGAGTGTTTAATGATCAACCCAGATGTCTCTGGTTGAGGGCAGACAGGTGGAGGAATGCAACCTGGTAAATAAATGTACAGTGCATTCGGAAAGTATTCAATCCCCTTCCCTTTTTCCACATTTTGTTACGTTACGGCCTTATTCTAAAATTGATGTAATTTTTTTCCTCATCAATGTACCCCATAATGACGAAGCAAAAAACGTTTTTTAAATTGTTTTGAAAATGTATACAAAATAAAAAAACGGAAACATAACATTTACATAAGTATTCACACCCTTTGCTGAGAGACTCGAAATTGAGCGCAGGTGCATCCTGTTTCCATTGATCATCCTTGAAATGTTTCTACAACTTGATTGGAGTCCACCTGTGGTAAATTCAATTGATTAGACATGATTTTGAAAGACACATACCTGTCTATATAAGGTCCCACAGTTGACAGTGCATGTCAGAGCAAAAACCAAGCCATGAGGTGGAAGGAATTGTCCGTAGAGCTCCGAGACAGGATTGTGTCGAGGCACAGATCTGAGGAAGGGTACCAAAAAATGTCTGCAGCATTGAAGGTCCCCAAGAACACAGTGGCCTCCATCATTCTTAAATGGAAGAAGTTTGGAACCACCAAGACTCTTCCTAGAGCTGGCCGCCCAGCCAAACTGAGCAATCGGGGGAGAAGGGCCTTGGTCAGGGAGGTGACCAAGAACCCGATGGTCACTCTGACAGAGCTGCAGAGTTCCTCTGTGGAGATGGGAGAACCTTCCAGAAGGACAACCATCTCTACAGCACTCCACCAATTGGGTATTTATGGTAGAGTGGCCAGATGGAAGCCACTCCTCAGTAAAAGGCACAACAGTTTGGAGTTTGCCAAAAGGCACCTAAAGGACTCTCAAACCATGAGAAAACAAGATTCTCTAGTCTGATGAAACCAAGATTGAACTCTTTGGCCTGAATGCCAAGCGTCACGTCTGGAGGAAACCTGGCACCATCCCTAAGGTGAAGCATGGTGGTGGCAGCATCATGCTGTGGGGATGGTTTTCAGCAGCAGGGACTGGGGGACTAATCAGGATCGAGGGAAAAGATGAACAGAGCAAAGTACAGAGAGATCCTTGATGAAAACCTGCTCTAGAGCGCTCAGGACTTCAGCCTGGGGCGAAGGTTCACCTTCCAACAGGACAATGACCCTAAGCGCACAGCCAAGACAGCGCAGAGTGGCATCGGGACAAGTCTCTGAATGTCCTTGAGTGGTCCAGCCAGAGCCGGACTTGAACCCAATCTAACATCTCTGGAGAGACCTGAAAATAGCTGTGCAGCGATGCTCCCCATCCAACCTGACAGGGTTTTAGAGAAGAATGGGAGAAATTCCCCAAATACAGGTGTGCCAAGCTTGTAGTGTCATACCCAAGAAGACTCTAGGCTGTAATCGCTGCCAAAAGTGCTTAAACAAAGTACTGAGTAAAGGGTCTGAAAACGTATGTAAATGTGATATTTCAGTTTAAATTTTTTAGTTTTTTAGTTTAAAATTCAAAAAAACTGTTTTTGATTTGTCATTATGGGTTATTGTGTGTAGATTGATGAGAGAGAGATTTTTTAAAATCAATTTTAGAATATGGCTGTAACGTAACAAAATGTGGAAAAAGTCGAGGGGTCTGAATACTTGTTGAATGCACTGTATTCATCGTCAGACCTGAAGGGATTTCCTCCTCTTGCCTAGGGCTGGGCGAAATGGCCTCAAACGTATGGCCAAAATTATATATATATGTTTTCTCTAAAAACACTGTGAAATTGTGAAATTATACCTGGGCTAATAATGTAATTATTTTATCAAAATAGTTTAACCTGCTTTTTTGAAATAATCACTGATCTGACTTTCAAGTCTGTCTATGACAATGACCTTTTGGTTAAACATTCAACCAGAACAATGCGTAATGCACTTTCACTTCTTGTAACAGGCATTATAGAACATGAACACAGGTCTCATAAACAATATCTCAAGCACAAGCCCACATGCTAGTTGGTAGCCAGCTAATATTTATAGGAAGTTTAGCCAACTTGGATTGATTTGTTAGCTAACAAGGCAGAACAGTTGAATTATGAACTCACCCCTCTGTCCGTCTCCAACCGTTTGAACAGCATGCTAGCCTGTCCACTTTGTTCAGAAGTTGAAATCAAGTGGCCTACCTTATTTCTCAGAATGAGAACGAGTTGCCATTTCCTTATATAATTGTGTTTTATGCTTATTGCACATTTATAAAACAAAGACATCTAGTATAACAGTCTTTGGCTAAAATGTAGCGGTACCAACTGAGCATTAATTTTCCAGAATCAATGTTCATTGATACTCCCGTTTTAGTAGTCTGCTCTGCGTGCAATTTGTGCAGTTGAGACATAAGTGGTATCGTTAGAAAGGTGAACTTCTCCTTTATGTTCATATGACCGATTCTGTTGGACCAAACCTCAAATGCAAATAGCGAGTTGAAACCGCTTGTCAGAGGAAGAAGGGATCTCTCATCTTTGTTGTGCAAGTGGCAGGGGGAGGGGCTTGGTGTGTTTGCGTGTGAAAACCGAGGAAGAGGCGAAGCGAGAGGTTTCACTCTCACTAGAATAAGGCCAATGTGTTTCTGAATTATTTAGACAATGATTTCAAGGCTATAGCCTACAAAGAAATACATTGTGAAGCATTTGCGAGTGAGACACAATAGGCTGGTAGGGACATAAAGGGCTCAGCATTTAAACAACATTTTGTTGTATTCAATCATTATAGTCTATACATTTTGCATATAGGCTGTGACTTACTTAGAATGAAATACAAATTAAACGAAAAATTACTAATTAGTGCCTTTGAATTCATTTTTAGAAACACAAGTTTGGCCAGTCTGTGGCTTCAGGCTCATGCGATGGTGCCTGGAGAGCAGGCCAGCAGCGGAGAATATCCTCTCCATGCTTGCAGAGCCACTGGGGATGATAAACACCCCTTTGGCCACTCTTGCCAGGCTGGGCAGAGATGCAGAGTTGTTTTTTTTATTTTTCTATAGGTAGGCCTAAAGGTTTTTTGTCAAAATAACCCAATCAAAATGAAAAGCTCCTTGAACGTGGGAATATGCCAGGCCTATTGGGTCAAAATCAATTATGGCCTGTTGTATAGATAATAGAACAAAAATGAACTAAACATTTAAGAGATCAGATTTTTTGTTTTTAAATACTTTGCTTCAATGGCACACTTAGTTATCTTCCCACCTTGTTCCTTTCTTTTAGCATGTAGTAAGTATACATCATGCTTTCGGGATACGTGTCTTTTCAGATTCCACAATGATTCTTTAGTTGTTGACACTACATCACCGCACTCTCTCTCTTGCTCCTCATCCTTGATTTAGCACCTGTGTATTTTATCAGTTTCTTTATGAAAATATTTAGTGAACTCCATGACAGTAGCTAAAGCAAGGGGCTATAGCAGCACACAAGTAGACTACAAATGCATGCTGGGGCGGGCATGCCCCGAGCTTGTGAAGTGAGTGCTATTGGAGCGGGTGAGAAGGCCGACACTCCAGCCTTTGGGAATCTCGCTCTGCGCTCCAGTCAAATTGAGCATGCTCCGCTCCAGCTCCGCTCACATACTCTGGCGGAGACAAGAGCATCTCGTCATTATATACAGATCTTTGGTGTAAATGGGAAGGTGCACACAGCACAGAAGGAGCGAAGGAGACAAGACCAAAAAGACAACATGAGAACAAGCAGACATAAAGGCTCATAAAAACAAAAAAATAACTTGGTTCTTGCGATACAGGCATTTGGAATATCGCGCAAAAACATACATTTGAATTCATTTCATATATCGCCCAGCCCTACTCCTGTCACACCAGCCGTCCTCCAAAGAAATACAGCTCTGATCATCTACTAATGTTACTGTCCAAAGCCTTTAGTAGGTTTGGAAACCAAATGAAATTGATGATTTCCACCAGTGAATGTTTGTCACCGCCTATTTCTAAAATGTATCTTCTTAAAATGTGATTTGAAACCTAATCTTAACCACACTGCTAACATTATGCCTAACCTAAATAATGATTTAGCCTATTTTTTTATTTGTGGCTGTGGTAACTAGTGACAACCCCCAGTGAATACATATCCATGAAAGATTCCTATGACTGTCCTCTCCCTTGCTTATTTGACCAACTATTACTTTGTCAGGAAGATGCAATTTCTTGTCGTTTTCATAAGCCATAAGGATATTCAACATTTACTATTACACCACTGTCTTATATGGTCTCTTTCTTTCTCCCCTCCCTCCACAGTCGAAGCCACTCATCCCTCTGCAGAAGGAGGAGGATCCAGAGACCCACAAGACGGTTCTCACCAACTATATGTTCCCCCAGCAGACCAGGACAGAGGACTGTGAGTACTAGACAACCTAAGGCCTACTATCTGTGGGCTAGGCTCTGTTCACTTTTACAATACATCCTACACTAGACAACCTAGACCAGGGGGAATTTTATCTCGTGAAAATACTGTAAATATGCTACAGGAGAGATGTTACTTTCTGATTTAAAAACCTACCAACGAAGGAAATATTTTTCTCCATTGATTAATTGAAATACCAACATCAAGCCCCACAATACATTGAATAATGAAACCAAGATACACAAGTATTATAATCAAACAGAAGGTTGGATTGAAATCAATATATTATTATACTGTGTAGGGCAGCCCAACCCCCAAAGTGACTCTTTACACTCTATTGAAAAGGTGTTATTATCTTCTCAGGAATTCAGCCTTCTCTGTGTTGCTCTTGCCATCCTCCATTGTCTCACACCTCTGGGTAGCAGAGGGTTTTGGTGTGATGACATCCTGCAGGTCTGATATCTGATTGGAGGTTAACTCAACAGTAATGCTATTGGTCAACAACTCCGATTTTGAATCCAAGGAATTTATAAAGCGGTCTTGGATTCATTGTCACTTTCTCTTTGTTCCTGACCTGCTGTAGTGAGATACTCTCTCTTCTCTTTCTTTCTTTAGAGATGCGCTCTAAAGCCAGCCAGCCAAACTAACAGCCTTACGCCTGCTACGAGGCGTCCGCATGGTCCTAAAGCCTACCCATTGTTAAACTGCATAAATGTTCCTTTTGGAAATAATACTAGTATTTCTGATTTTTTTATTTTTTTACAAATATACAGCTCTGGAAAAAATTAGAGACCACTGCACATTTTTTTAAAATCAGCATCTCTACATGTATGACAGCCATTCCAGTGTCTGTTGAATTCCAACACAGACACACCTCATTCTACTGAATTAGGTACTGATCAGGTGATCACCTGAACCAAATCTTATTTAACAAGGAAAAGTATAAAAACCACTGCTGTGGTCATCACTATCCTCTTGCAATAGGACCAGCTGGATGGCAAAAACTGTGCGACTAGTACCTCAAAAGTAATATTAGTCAAAAAAGAACCATTGACCATGCCAAAAGCGTTGAAAAGGAACATTTTGAGTGAGGAAAGGAAGGGTTAAATTCTGGCTTTACTGGCAGAGGGACACAGTGAGCGTCAAGTTGCTTCCATCCTTAAAATTTAAAAGACGGCAGTTCATAAGAACAAGGTCAAGCAACAGACAACAAAGCTACAGACCGGCAGAGGGCAAAAACGACTCTCTACTGACCGGGATGACCGCCAACTCATTCGAATGTCACTCAACAACCGTAGGATGGCAAACGGCAGCTGGGGTGAAGTGCACCGCGAGGACGGTTCGAAACAGGCTCCTAGGGGCAGGGCTGAAGTCGTGCAAAGCTAGAAAAAAGCCCTTCATCAATGAGAAGCAAAGAAGAGCCAGGCTGAGGTTTGCAAAAGACCATAAGGATTGGACCGTAGAGGACTGGAGTAAGGTCATCTTCTCTGACGAGTCCAATTTTCAGCTTTGCCCAACACCTGGTCGTCTAATGGTTAGATGGAGACCTGGAGAGGCCTACAAGCCACAGTGTCTCGCACCCACTGTGAAATTTGGTGGAGGATCGGTGATGATCTGGGGGTGCTTCAGCAAGGCTGGAATCGGGCAGATTTGTCTTTGTGAAGGACGCATGAATCAAGCCATGTACAAGGTTGTCCTGGAAGAAACCTTGCTTCCTTTTGCTCTGACATTGTTCCCCAAATCAGAGGATTGGTTTTTCCAGCAGGACAATGCGCCATGCCACACAGCCAGGTCAATCAAGGATGGAGGACCACCAGATCAAGACCCTGTCATGGCCAGCCCAATCTCCAGACCTGAACCCCATTGAAAACTTCTGGAATGTGATCAAGAGGAAGATGGATGGTCACAAGCCATCAAACAAAGCCGAGCTGCTTGAATTTTTTCACCAGGAGTGGCATAAAGTCACCCAACATCAATGTGAAAGACTGGTGGAGAGCATGCCAAGACGCATGAAAGTTGTGATTGAAAATCACGGTTATTCCACCAAATATTGATTTCTGAACTCTTCCTAAGTTAAAACATTAGTATTGTGTTGTTTAAAAATGAACATGAACTTATTTTCTTTGCATTATTTGAGGTCTGACAACACTGCATCTTTTTTGTTATATTGACCAGTTGTCATTTTCTGCAAATACATGCTCTAAATTACAATATTTTTATTTGGATTTGGGAGAAATGTTGTCAGTAGTTTATAGAATAAACAAGAATGTAAATTTTACCCAAACACATACCTATAAATAGTAAAACCAGAGAAACTTATAATGTTGCAGTGTCTCTTTAATTTTTTCCAGAGCTGTATGTGTGTGCGTGTGTGTGTGTGTGTATGTATGTATGTATGTATATATGTATATATATATATAAACACACACACAGTACCAGTCAAAGGTTTGGACACACCTACTCATTCCAGGGTTTTTCTTTATTTTTTACTATTTTCTACATTGTAGAATAATAGTAAAGACATCAAAACTATGAAATAACACATATGGAATCATATAGTAGAATCAAAGTGTTAAACAAATCTAAATATATTTTATATTTGAGATTCTTCAAATAGCCACCCTTTGCCTTGATGACAGCTTTGCACACTCTTGGCATTCTCTCAACCAGCTTCACCTGGAATGCTTTTCCAACAGTCTTGAAGGAGTTCCCACGTATGCTGAGCACTTGTTGGCTGATTTTCCTTCACTCTGCGGTCGACTCATCCCAAACCATCTCAATTGGGTTGAGGTCGGGGGATTGTGGAGGCCAGGTCATCTGATGCAGCACTCTATCACTCTCCTTCTTGGTAAAATAGCCCTTACACAGCCTGGAGGTGTGTTGGGTCATTGTCCTGTTGAAAAACAAATGATATTCCCACTAAGCGCAAACCAGATGGGATGGTATATCGCTGCAGAATGCTGTGGTAGCCATGCTGGTTAAGTGTGCCTTGAATTCTAAATAAATCACAGACAGTGTCACCAGCAAAGCACCCCCACACCATAACACCTCCCCCTTGATGCTTTATGGTGGGAAATACACATGCGGAGATCATCCGTTCAACCACACCGCGTCTCACAAAGACACGGCGGTTGGAACCAAAAATCTCCAATTTGGACTACAGACCAAAGGACAAATTTCCACCGGTCTAATGTTCATTGCTCATGTTTCTTGGCCCAAGCAAGTCTCTTCGTCTTATTGGTGTCCTTTAGTAGTGGTTTCTTTGCAGCAATTTGACCATGAAGGCCTGATTCACACAGTCTCCTCTGAACAGTTGATGTTGAGATGTGTCTGTTACTTAAATCAGTGTTCAGGAGAGCAACAGGTGCTAGCCCTTGGAGGGGAAATAGTGAATCTGTTATCAGTGCGCTGCTTTTGCGTTCCAATTTGTTTTTGTTGCACCCACCAGATCTACTCAGTCCCTTAATTGGAATGTCTGTGCTTTGAACATTTTTGGTCTGAAACAAGCTCCCATTGTTTGCCGGGACAGAGGGAAATCTCCAAAATTGAAACTAAAAAGATTCTGGAGGGAGAGAGACTAAAACGTCTTAACCTGTTTCCTAGCTAAACAACTTTTGTACTTCTCTGACGTGGAATCTTGGCGTCGAACGCAGCCCAGGCTTAGAGAAAACTGTTCCGGAAAACATGACTGGGCTAAGCTGTCAAAAACAAACAGAATTCCCACCGGTTTCTTCATCACTATTAATTTACCTCGCGCACACACGTTTTGGGATATCAAGTGGTATTAATCCCTCAAACATACATTTAAGGCCCCATACTCTAGGCAGGGGAGAATATTTTAATTAGTGGTACATAATAACTGCTAAGGTTTCATATTTTATTCAATTATTTTATCTCTAGATGTATGTTTAACAAATGTCATTGGAATTCTGCGTAAAGGTTGACGTGTGGTGGTGTTTGTCCTCTTCAGACACCCCCAGCTCTGACAGCGAGAGCTTTAACCCCTCTCTGTGGGAGGAGCAGAGGAAGCAGCGGGCCCAGGTGGCCTTCGAGTGTGACGAGGACAAGGATGAGAGGGAGACGCCTCCGCGGGTCAGTACTCCACGCGCATGCATAGACACAAACCAACACACACACAAGCACACACCCTTGTGTACGCACACAGCCAAGACAAACAAACTCTCTTAACTTGCTGTGTTATAGATTGTAGCTAGTGCGGATGACAAACTGAGGGTGACACTATGCAAATGCAAGCTAATGAAAGTAGATGAAAAATTATGTCCATTTGGCACGCGTCGAAAACGAGGGTCAAATAATGCTGCCCTGTACTCGCATTGCTTTTGCACATTACACAGTTCTCATTAATAAGTTGTTAATGCTGTTAAAACACTGGAGCAAGGGTTTCAAATGGGCTTTCTGGTACAAAAGCAAGCTTTTTTCAATCTCCTCATGTTATAATGGAAAATCTAGATTGTGTCCCAAATGGCACCCTATTCCCTATATAGTGCACTAATAGGACTCTGGTCAAAAGTATTGCACTACATAGGTAATAGGGTGCTATTTGGGATGTAACCTATATCTGTTAGTCATCTTGTGCGTCAAGCTACAACTGCATTACCCATAAAAGATTGGCCTTTCCCTTTTTCCCTTGTATTTAAGAGAGATGTGTGTGTGCCTGCACCTGAGTTTCTATGGAATTCCCATTTAGTTAATCTGATGTCTACTGTCTCACTGTGAAATGGAAGCTGACTGAAGCTCATGGTGAGGAGGTTCTGAATATTTTCCTTCCCATCAATTGTGCCGTCTCACACAGTCTCCCACTGGCACAATATGGCCGCCTGACTGCAGTGTCTCTCCAGCAGACTGGGAGGGCTGGCCTGCCGGGAAGAGGCACACCACCTCTCAAACTGTCAGTCTGACAAAGGAGCGGTGGTGTCACCTCCGCTTGGCAGGCAAACCCAACTCCCCCTCCCTACCCAACTCCCGCTCCCCACCCCCTAGTTGAGGGACCCACTGTGATCACTGGTTTTGATGTGCATGTCACACTCTCTCCGCTATGTGCATGTGTGCGTGTGTGTGTCTCCAGGAGGGCAACCTGAAGCGCTACCCAACGCCGTACCCAGACGAGCTGAAGAACATGGTGAAGACGGCCCAGTCGGTCGCCCACAGGTTGAAGGAGGACGAGTCAGGCGACGAGTCAGGGAAGGATGCCAGGCCTAACGAGCGTAACCACGTGGGAGTGCAGGACGTGGGAGTCAAGGTTGGCCTCCATCTGAGCCCAGTTTTCTTTAAACACTGGCAGACATGCAAACTGCACATGCGCACACTCTATCTAGTCTAGTTTCTACTCCTCTTCTGCTTTCCGTAAATACAACAAACAACTTGTATACAGTTTATTGCAGGGATCATCAACTAGATTAAGCCGCGGGACGATTTTCTTCTTGAGGGGATAGTCAGGGGGCCGGAACATAATTACAAATAATTATATTATTTTTTGCTCAGAAAACTTGAGGGGCTAAATAAAATCACCCGCGGGCCAAATTTGGCTCACGGGCCTCCAGTTGGGGAACCCTGGTGTATTGTATTGGACGATTGCATGAGAGAAAATAAAGACTGCTCCACATGTCCACAAGTATTAGCAAATATTTTCATTTAAATTTATATGGTAAACATAATATATTGGAAATGAGTGAAATCACAAACAGCCGTAATAAACCTGAGATCAACAGTAATTCACTTATGTTTTCCAATACTTACTTGCCACTTATTTAGAAGTTAAATAGGTAACAAATAACATAACAACAACCTAATAATGACTATTTTGTAATAGAAACACGTCTCCTTTATATAACCTTCTGTTGGTTTGGGGTTTGACCAGGTGATTGAGGCTCCCTGTGCCAATGGCAAGCCAGTGGAGATGGAGCCCAAAGCGCCTGTCTGTGTCCAGGACTCCACGGCACCCCTGGAGACCTCTGAATCCTACACCTCCCAGAAGACCTCTCTCCGAACCTCCGACAACACCAGGAACATGAAACATGAGGATACCCTGGAGGTACGCTACTACAGAAGATGCTACACACCTCATTGGCCATACACATTTTGAAACTTTCACATTTATTTTGTGGATTTTTTTTGTGTCAAGTCTTTTTCTCTGCAGGACTCCGAGGAGCTTTCATCTGAGGAGGAGGAGATGAAGATGGCGGAGATGAGACCTCCTCTCATCGAGATCTCCATCAACCAGCCCAAAGTGGTGGCCCTAAGTAAGGACAAAAAAGGTACTGCACAGACAAGCGGCTCCTTGTAGGATTAACCACCACTAGATGTAGTACATGGCTAGAACGCTGGTACTTAACTCAAATTAGGATTTGTCCATATGTAACAAAGTGAAGTAGTTCTATGTAACTATTGACACGTTCATTACATAATGTGTATACTGTCCTCAGGGTACACAGCTTGGTAGTACACCCAGAAATCATCCCAAACCCTGTCAGAACTATGTGTATGAATGTGTACACTGACCGAGTTCTCCTCTCTTTGTCTGACAGATGACGGTAAAGACGCTGACTCGTTGTTGGACGAGACGGTGGCCAACAGCAATCAGAACAACAGCAACTGTTCGTCCCCGTCGCGCATGTCGGACTCAGTGTCTCTGACCACGGACAGCAGCCAGGACAACTCCCTGTGCACCCCCGAGAGAGAGGCCAAGATGCCCTTCCTACCCAAAAGCAGGTGGGTGCAGTCTGGTTCCTCTCAAGGTTTATTGAGGATGGAGTGTGATTTCCTTGCTATTAGGGATGTGATTTCTTTGAAAATAAAAGCTATAAACGTCCTAGTAAAAAAATCACTTGGGAGCAGAGAAGTATATTTTCCCCTTGCTTTGAAATGTTTGCTGAACTCAGAAAATACCTTTGTATGTGCTCATACTAGATGTAAATAAGCTGGTGGGATCTCCTAGTCATTGGGCGTGTGGGCCAGGGTTCCTGCTAAGCTGCCATGCTAGTCTGTTTGTTTCCTTATACTCTATATGGCACAACACTCGTCAACAACAACAAACCAATATGTTGTGCTTCCTGTTCCAGGCAAGCGGATGAAAACATGAACCAGCGGAAGGAGAGAACACCTCTCCTCCAGAACGGCAATGGCTCGGACACGTCCCTGCAGACCCTCCTGAAGACCCAGCAGGGCTACGCGTCCAAGCCCGAGAAGATGGTGGGTGACTATGACCTGTCCATGGAGGAGAGGCTGGCCTTCATTGAGAAGGGCATCAACAACGGTATGGGTGACGCCTACACCAAGTGGGACCAGATCAACATGAACGTGGCCAAGCTGCTGCCGCCGCAGCCGGACAATATGGTGGTCCAACCGGACGACCGCTCGAACGGCCCGAGCGCCAAAGAGGACTTTAACCACTTGCCTCCCCCGTATAACAATGACAACTCTACAGCGCCCATCACGGACCACTTGGAGAACGGCAACCAGCTGGGCGACCACTTCAATAACCGCTCCAGCGAGGGTCTGGCCGTGTCACCTGTGAGGGTGGACTCTGCCACGTCGGTGGTGCGGACGGCTTCAGCGGGCGTGACGGCCAGCAGCGACATGTCTCTGTCTCGCAGCACCGAGGAGCTGTCCCCGGAGAAACGATGCATCCCTCCTGTAGTGGTCAAGGCTCAGAGCATCACCAACATCGAGACAGGGGGGATGAAGCTGTACTCCTTGGACGCTGAGGGGGGCTCCTACGAGGGTGGCGTAGTGGGCAGGATGGCCGGAGCCGGACCGGGGGCCCAGGGCCAGAGCATCGTCCGCAGCAAATCAGCCTCCCTGCTCAACGACCAACCCTTCCAGGTCTACCCTGGCTCCTCAGCCTCCTCCTCCGACCTGCTCTCCAGCTCCTCCAAGCCCCCCGTCAGCACCGGCCGTTACCCAGTCCCCTCTGGCATGGCCATGGGCCCGCCACCCCAGTACAACATCCAGTACACCAGCAGCACCATGCCTAAAGACGGCATGTGGACCCAGAGGACCCCTGTCCCCCTTGACCAGGGCTACCTTCCTCCGCCCCAGCATTCTCTGGCCAACACCAACTACTCCAACCGCAACCAGGCCCCTCCCTACCCCCTCCTGGCCCAGCAGAGAGGCCCGCCCACGGGGCCCACACCCGGTGACATGTGGGCTAAGGAGAGACACCTGCCCCCCGGTGGTCAGCCACGGAGCAGCACCCTTCAGAGGCAGAGCAGCAGCTCCTCCACGGCCTCCATGGGGGACCCCCGGCGCATGCAGGTGCCCGAGGGAGAGTACATGACGTACAGGGACATCCACACCCTGGGCCGGGGACCACTGGCCATGGCCCAGGCCATGCAGAGGCCTCTGTCGGCACGTACCTACAGCATTGACGGGCCCAGCGCCACCAGGCCCCACAGCGCCAGGCCACAGCCCCACGAGCTGCCCGAAAGGACCATGTCAGTCAGCGACTTCAACTACCAGCACGGCAGCCCCAGCAAGAGGCCCAACACCAGGGTGAAGTCTGAGCACTCGTTGCTGGATGGGCCAGGAGGACCGGGAGCAGGAGGAAGGGTACCGGTGGACTGGAGAGACCAGGTGATGCGCCACATCGAGGCCAAGAAGATGGAAAAGGTAGAGTATTTGATGAATATTTAAGGAGCAATCCATTTGATTGTACTTTTCATTCAATATGTTTGATAATAATCTTAATGGCCACTAAGAGAAATACAGTATTATTTAAAGGCATAGCTACGATAAGAGGTCAAACTTGGGTGATATGGACAAAAATCCATATCACGATAAATTGACTGAATTATCACAATAACGATAAAAAGTTCAAACCATTAAGTACATCAGTTAATTGTGTATATTACCTTTAAAACTACTACTTTGAATGTTGTAGTTATCAATTGTTCTGTTAGCAATAGCCCATATTAGCAGACTTATTTAATTTCTAGTAAAGGCTATTTATCGTTATCGATAACAGTAAAATGTCCTCGATAAATGTTGGTTTGGTTGGTGTCGATAATTTTCGGTTTATCGTGCCAGCTCTAATAGAGGTCACCTGTGTTTGATTGGGAACGTGTTAAGAAGATCACATCGTTATGGTGTTATCATCCCAGGTTGTTATTAGGTCCGTTCTATTTGATGATGTTATAGCCGAGATGACATAACACCGTCCATTCAGAAACCTCATGACCCACATTATAGTGGCGTTTCTGTTTCATTATCTCCATCTTCATTACTTGTCCCATTCCTTTACATCAGTTCAGAATGAAAAGGAGGGTAGGAAGCCACTTTAGACTTTTGACTCAGCCCTGGCTCCAGGGTGACAATAGCGCAACTCCGTCTGACGTAGGAAGACAATCGGGTTGAGACTGGAGTTTGGGGTGTGTACCTTAGTGGCTCTCCTATGGGCCCTAGGTACCACAGGTTGAGGGGGGCTACAGTCTGCATTCTCATTGTCCACTTCATCATTACAGTCACAGTGGGCATCTTTAGAACGCAGCCATGAAAGTGACTGCCCTGATGTTATCTAAGACACATGGTTTAATCAATGATGTGATTTAGAATGTGGAATGAATGGCCTCGATTTGAAAAGGAGAGATTACTCACTTGATACTTAATTAGTAGAGGAACAGCAGAACAGACAGAGGAGAAAGTGATGAGCGGGACATGTCATTTAATCACTTGTTCACAAGCAAGATTCGCCTGATTTATTCAATTTCCTCCCTAATTAAATTGTAGAGCATCAACTTGCTAAGTGCTGAAATCTCCTTAAAGAACAAAACCACATTAACAGATTCTGTTGTCTGAGTTTGACTTTACCATGTAGTCAATGGCAGTACAGTCGACTCCTGATAAATGGAACGGCTTTCTACTGGAAAGCTACATATTGCAATTTAAACAGAGTTTGCATTTATCTGGACTTATCAGGGGTCTACATATAAAACATATTGTTTCCTAAGCATGTTTGTTGCATCAGTATGTTTAGAGTAACAAGCAAACAACCTGCTACTAACTCAGTGTATGAAATAGTGTTTTGTGATTCACTGCATGCTTGTCTGCTGTTAAAGCATGTGGAATGTTAACATTAACAATATTATTTACATTATTTTATTATTCATTACCACTTCGTGAAATGCATGCCCACTAAATTGTGTCTGTGTGTGTTGTCTGTATGTGTGTGTGTGTTGGCTGTATGTCAGGGTTTCCGTTAGGAAAATGTGGCACTGGACATTTGACCGGCAACGTTTTAATTTACCGGACATTTGCGAAATTTACCGGACCCATATGCATTGGGTGCGTAACCTGATTAGGGTGTCCACCCACGGTGCTCAGAATGACAGAAATCACATTTAGAATATGGTGATTCATATTAACAGAACATGCAAGTGGAGGATGCAATGAAGTGCAGTCCTTCTTACCGAATTCTGATGTGCACTTTGAACGTTAGAATAACTGTCCACATTTACTTTTCCTCAGCCAACAAGATGAGTAACAAACAGCAAAATGACTAGCCTATGTAAATGTAATATACAGTTCCACTAAATTATGCAAATTAACCTATAGACCGATAAGCATGACCAGTCAAATGTATTTCTATCGACTGGTATTTCCATCAATGAATAGGCTAAAAATCATTATTTCGCAATGGGATTTTTTTTTTCTTTCTCCCGGACAATTGGCCGGGGCCAATTTTATTTATCGGCTTTAAAATTAAAATAAAACGAACAAAAGCCGGCTATTACCAGCTAACGGAAACCCTGCTGTATGTGTAATGTGGTGTGTTGCCCTCCTCTGCTCAGAACGCCCTGTCTCGGTCCTATAATTCCAATTACGCCCCGCTGAGCTGCTCCCACTACAGCAGCTCTCGGGACGTACACCACGCAGGCAGCCAAGGCTCTCTGGTCTTTGGTGCTGCCGCAGAAGGACGGCCTTACGGAGCCCAGGGCCTCTTTGTGAGTACTGGACTGTACTGGAGCTAGACTACAGCTCAGCCTCCTAGCTCCTAGCTGCCTCCTATCCAGGCAGATCTGATTCCTACCTCCTACTGCTTTTCAGCTTGGGCCCCTTTCCAATGCTTTTCAAAGGCATCCTTGGCTTCCACATCGTTCCATTCAGAATACAATGCCTTCCTCAGTTAAGATTGATCATTTTGTTGCGGGGCCTTTTTGTGATGTTCAATCCTTGAGGTTGTCATTGATCTGTGCTGGATGGAAACAAGGTTTCTCTCTCCACCCTGTTTGCTTCCATCACTTCAACCCTCAGATCTGGGATGACTTCACAGAAGGTTTCAAGGAAGGATGCATTTTAGAATGATTGGGACAGGGCCTTTGAACTGTATCGCTCCTTGCTGTAGTGTGACGCAACCTAACTTGTTTGAAAGGGGCATCCTTTGTCTGTGCACATAAACTAGTCCGCTCTACCACAAACTGTTTGTAGGGAAACTTACGATCTCTATCTCTATCAAGGATTCAGGTAGAGGAAACTCCTAGCTCTGTAGAATGCCATGGTCTCCCGAGTGGCGCAGCGGTCTAAGGCACTGCATCTCAGTGCTTGAGGAGTCACTACAGACCCCCTGGTTCGATTCCAGGCTGTATCACAACCGGCCGTGATTGGGAGTCCCATAGGGTGGCGCACAATTGGCCCAGCGTCGTCTGGGTTTGGCTGGTGTAGGCCGTCATTGTAAATATGAATTTGTTCTTAACTGACTTGCCTAGTTAAATAAAGGTTAAAAAAAGAACAATTAAGACCTGGCTGAACTAACACATTGCTTCTGTTGTATAAATTGAAAATGTTTGTAGTCTCTCAATTTACAGCAGAAAAGTAGCCTACCTTATCCAAACAGTAGTAGGGTTGAATAGGGCGGAAGCAGTGTTGTTATCCTTATAAGGGTTTTCTCTCTAAAACCTATTTTCTGTGTCATTATAGGCCATATGATAGGATGCAGTTGACAGTGAGATACTGAACAGGGATTTCACTGGCTTGGTGTAGAGGAATTTAATTTATCCAATGACATCGGTGCGTCGGAAGCCTTTGATTAGCAGTATAGGCTACAAGTCTCATCTCTGATGTGAAATAACATAATGTTGCATAGTACAGTTGGATGTGTTGAATAATAGTAGTATAATAATATTAGCAAGTTGCATGGTACAAAATGCCCCTTTTTAAACCTGGTTTCCCTCCCAACCTATAATTCACTTATCCCAGTGCTTTATCCACCCACCCTCCAGAACTCCAATCATGTAGCATGCTTCCCTTCTCAATCAAACTGATTCTCCCTTTAACGACACGTTGACTCATCAATCATCAGCTCGCTTAATGCCTCCTCTTCACTCCCACTGTTGATCACTTCAGAATCACCTCATAAGCCTTTCACTTCTTTGTGTGGAGATGAGCACTGTATTTGTCCAAGGTAAGTGTGGGGGGTGTAGTTGGAAGAACAAGTAGTTGTGGTGTTAGATTGAGTCGTAGTGTCAAATAGCGGCCTACTTGCTCATTTGCACTCAACATGTAGTCTTATGAATTAATGAATCATTGTTTCCTTCTCTATTTATTCTCTAAAGGACACTACTTTCGGCTCTAGTGCCCTACGTAGGGAATAATCATCCTCATTGTAAAGAATGTTATCCATAGATGTACTTTTCATGGGTGTTGGAATTACCTGGAGAAATTTCAGAATTAATGGTTAACACAACATATTCCATTTTTGTTAACCGAACATGCAACTAACATTATTAGCCTCAATCAGAACATGGTCAACTAATTCAGCTTAGATATGAAGAATTACCTCAACATTACCTAATAGTCCGGGGCTTCAGGGACTTGCCTAAAATAGTAGAGGTGTGTTTGTCACAGACAGACAGTGGTCAGGACATGGGCTTTCTTACTAAGCATCTGACATTGTTCCCTCTTCAGGATGACGTGGTTGGACCTCAAGGGCAACAGGGCTACACCATGGACACCCTCCGAAAAGTAAGTGCACACTAGAACCATATGTAGAGGATACCCATAAACCAATCAACCACCTCTTATCATTTTAACATTTCTAAAAAATTGTCTTCTCAAATTGGTTTGTTTTCCTACTATACAGTGGCTTGCGAAAGTATTCACCCCCCTTGGCATTTTTCCTATTTTGTTGCCTTACAACCTGGAATTAAAATGGATTTTTGGGGGGTTTATATCATTTGATTTACACAACATGCCTACCACTTTGAAGATGCAAAGTATTTTTTATTGTGAAACAAAGAAGAAATAAGACATAAAAGCAGAACTTGAGCGTGCATAGCTATTCACCCCTCCAAAGTCAATACTTTGTAGAGACATCTTTTGCAGCAGTTACAGCTGCAAGTCTCTTGGGGTATGTCTCTATAAGCTTGGCACATCTTGCCCATTCTTCAAGGCAAAACTGCACCAGCTCCTTCAAGTTGGATGGGTTCCGCTGGTGTACAGCAATCCTTAAGTCATACCACAGATTCTCAATTGGATTGAGGTTTGGACTTTGACTAGGCCATTCCAAGACATTTAAATATTTCCCCTTAAACCACTCAAGTGTTGGTTTAGCAGTATGCTGGAAGGTGAACCTCCGTCCCAGTCTCAAATCTCTGGAAGACTGAAACAGGTTTCCCTCAAGAATTTCCCTGTATTTAGCGCCATCCATCATTCCTTCAATTCTGACCAGTTTCCCAGTCCCTGCCGATGGAAAAACATCCCACCACCATGCTTCACTGTGGGGATGGTGTTCTCTGGGTAATGAGAGGTGTTGGGTTTGCGCCAGACATAGCATTTTACTTGATGGCCAAAATGCTCAATTCTAGTCTCATCTGACCAGAGTACCTTCTTCCACATGCCTTTTGGCGAACACCAAACGTGTTTGCTTATTTTTTTTCTTTACGCAATGGCTTTTCTCTGGCCACTCTTCCATAAAGCCCAGCTCTGTGGAGTGTACGGCTTAAAGTGGTCCTATGGACAGATACTCCAATCTCCGCTGTGGAGCTTTGCAGCTCCTTCAGGGTTATCTTTGATCTCTTTGTTGCCTCTCTGATTAATGCCCTCCTTTCCTGGTCCGTGAGTTTTGGTGGGCGGCCCTCTCTTGGCAGGTTTGTTGTGGTGCCATATTATTTCAATTTTTTAATAATGGATTTAATGGTGCTCCGTGGGATGTTCAAAGTTTCTGATATTTTTTTATAACCCAACCCTGATCTGTACTTCTCCACAACTTTGTCCCTGGCCTGTTTGGAGAGCTCCTTGGTCTTCATGGTGCCCCTTGCTTAGTGGCGTTGCAGACTATTGGGCCTTTCAGAACAGGTATATATATATATATACTGACATCAAATCAAATCAAATCAAATTTTATTGGCCACATGCGTCGAATACAACAGGTGCAGACATTACAGTGAAATGCTTACTTACAGCCCTTAACCAACAGTGCATTTCTTTTTAACAAAAAAAGTAAGAATAAAACAACAACAAAAAAAGTGTTGAGAAAAAAAGAGCAGAAGTAAAATAAAATAACAGTAGGGAGGCTATATATACAGGGGGGTACCGGTGCAGAGTCAATGTGCGGGGGCACCGGCTAGTTGAGGTAGTTGAAGTAATATGTACATGTGGGTAGAGTTAAAGTGACTATGCATAAATAATTAACAGAGTAGCAGCAGCGTAAAAGGATGGGGTGGGGGGGCAGTGCAAATAGTCCGGGTAGCCATGATTAGCTGTTTCAGGAGTCTTATGGCTTGGGGGTAGAAGCTGTTGAGAAGTCTTTTGGACCTAGACTTGGCACTCCGGTACCGCTTGCCGTGCGGTAGCAGAGAGAACAGTCTATGACTAGGGTGGCTGGAGTCTTTGACAATTTTGAGGGCCTTCCTCTGACACCGCCTGGTATAGAGGTCCTGGATGGCAGGAAGCTTGGCCCCAGTGATGTACTGGGCCGTACGCACTACCCTCTGTAGTGCCTTGCGGTCGGAGGCCAAGCAGTTGCCATACCAGGTGGTGATGCAACCAGTCAGGATGCTCTCGATGGTGCAGCTGTATAATTTTTTGAGGATCTGAGGACCCATGCCAAATCTTTTCAGTCTCCTGAGGGGGAATAGGCTTTGTCGTGCCCTCTTCACGACTGTCTTGGTGTGTTTGGAACATGATAGTTCGTTGGTGATGTGGACACCAAGGAACTTGAAGCTCTCAACCTGTTCCACTACAGCCCCGTCGATGAGAATGGGGGCGTGCTCAGTCCTCTTTTTTTTCCTGTAGTCCACAATCATCTCCTTTGTCTTGGTCACGTTGAGGGAGAGGTTGTTATCCTGGCACCACACGGCCAGGTCTCTGACCTCCTCCCTATAGGCTGTCTCATCGTTGTCGGTGATCAGGCCTACCACTGTTGTGTCGTCGGCAAACTTGATGATGGTGTTGGAGTCGTGCCTGGCCATACAGTCATGGGTGAACAGGGAGTACAGGAGGGGACTGAGCACGCACCCCTGAGGGGCTCCCGTGTTGAGGATCAGTGTGGCAGATGTGTTGTTACCTACCCTTACCACCGTGGGGCGGCCCGTCAGGAAGTCCAGGATCCAGTTGCAGAGGGAGGTGTTTAGTCCCAGAATCCTTAGCTTAGTGATGAGCTTAGAGGGCACTATGGTGTTGAATGCTGAGCTGTAGTCAATGAATAGCATTCTCACGTAGGTGTTCCTCTTGTCCAGGTGGGAAAGGGCAGTGTGGAGTGCAATAGAGATTGCATCATCTGTGGATCTGTTGGAGCGGTATGCAAATTGGAGTGCGTCTAGGGTTTCTGGGATAATGCTGTTGATGTGAGCCATGACCGGCCTTTCAAAGCACTTCATGGCTACAGGCGTCAGTGCTACGGGTCGGTAGTCATTTAGGCAGGTTATCTTAGAGTCCTTGGGCACGGGGACTATGGTGGTCTGCTTGAAACATGTTGGTATTACAGACTCAGTCAGGGACATGTTGAAAATGTCAGTGAAGACACTTGCCAGTTGGTCAGCACATGCTCGGAGTACACGTCCTGGTAATCCATCTGGCCCTGTGGCCTTGTGAATGTTGACCTGCTTAAAAGTCTTACTCACATCGGCTACGGAGAGCGTGATCACATAGTCATCCGGAACAGCTGGTGCTCTCATGCATGCTTCAGTGTTGCTTGCCTCGAAGCGAGCATAGAAGTGGTTTAGCTCGTCTGGTAGGCTTGTGTCACTGGGCAGCTCGCGGCTGTGCTTCCCTTTGTAGTCTGTAATAGTTTTCAAGCCCTGCCACATCCGACGAGCGTCAGAGCCAGTGTAGTACGATTCAATCTTAGTCCTGTATTGACTCTTTGCCTGTTTGATGGTTCGTCGGAGAGCATAGCGGGATTTCTTATAAGCGTCCGGGTTAGAGTCCCGCTCCTTGAAAGCGGCAGCTCTACCCTTTAGCTCAGTGCGGATGTTTCCTGTAATCCATGGCTTCTGGTTGGGGTATGTACGTACGGTCACTGTGGGGACGACATCATCGATGCACTTATTGATGAAGCCAGTGACTGATGTGGTGTACTCCTCAATGCTGTCTGAAGAATCCCGGAACATGTTCCAGTCTGTGCTAGCAAAACAGTCCTGTAGCTTAGCATCTGCTACATCTGACCACTTTTTTATTAACCGAGTCACTGGTGCTTCCTGCTTTAGTTTTTGCTTATAAGCAGGAATCAGGAGAATAGAGTTATGGTCAGATTTGCCAAATGGAGGGCGAGGGAGAGCTTTGTATGCGTCTCTGTGTGTGGAGTAAAGGTGGTCCAGAGTTTTTTTTTCCTCTGGTTGCACATTTAACATGCTGGTAGAAATTAGGTAGAACGGATTTAAGTTTCCCTGCATTAAAGTCCCCGGCCACTAGGAGCGCTGCATCTGGATGAGCGTTTTCCTGTTGATTTATGGCCTTATACAACTCATTCAGTGCAATCTTAATGCCAGCATTGGTTTGTGGTGGTAAATAGACAGCTATGAAAAATATAGATGAAAACTCTCTTGGTAAATAGTGTGGTCTACAGCTTATCATAAGATACTCTACCTCAGGCGAGCAAAACCTCGAGACTTCCTTAGTATTTGATTTTGTGCACCAGCTGTTGTTTACAAATATACACAGACCGCCACCCCTTGTCTTACCGGAGTCAGCCGTTCTATCCTGCCGATGTGGCGTATAGCCCGCTAGCTGTATGTTATCCATGTCGTCGTTCAGCCACGACTCGGTGAAACATAAGATATTACAGTTTTTAATGTCCCGTTGGTAGGATAACCGTAATCTTAGGTCATCCAATTTGTTCTCCAATGATTGAAGATTGGCTAATAGGATTGATGGGAGCGGCAGTTTACTCGCTCGCCGTCGGATCCTTACAAGGCACCCCTACCTACGTCCACGATATCTCCGTCTCTTCCTCATGCGAATGACGGGGATTTGGGCCTTGTCGGGTGTATGTATGATATCCTTTGCGGCCGCCTCGTTGAAGAAAAAATCTTCGTCCAATACGAGTTGAGTAATCGCTGTCCTGATATCCAGAAGCTCTTTTTGGTTATAAGAGACGATGGCAGAAACATTATGTACAAAATAAATTACAAATAACGCAGAAAAACACACATAATAGTACAATTGGTTAGAGGGCTGTAAAACGGCAGCCATCTTCTCCGCCGCTGTTCTATGTGACATATCATGTGACACTTAGATTGCACACAGGTGGACTTTATTTAACTAATTATGTGACTTCTGAAGGTAATTGGTTGCACCAGATCTTATTTAGGGGATTCATAGCAAAGGAGGTGAATACATATGCACGTACCACTTTTCCGTTATTTATGTTTTTGAAATTTTTGAAACAAGTTCTTTTTTTCATTTCACTTCACCAATTTGGACTATTTTGTGTATGTCCATTACATGAAATCCAAATAAAAATCAATTTAAATTACAGGTTGTAATGTAACAAAATAGGAAAAATGCCAAGGGGGATGAATACTTTTGCAAGGCACTGTATATTAGGAATGCAGACCATAAAGACCATGGAATTGTCATAGGCCCTATACAGTTTTGAGTAGTTTCTTAACAAAAGGAGTGCAATAATTCTACAAATCGATCATACAACCCCACCATAACTAGAAGTGCCTGTCTGTCTGTCCCATCTCGGCACATGCATTCCTGACCCATAGCTTTTTCTGTTCCACTGCAAGTAGAGCATTGCCCAGCCCCAGCCCAATACCCTTAGTAGAGCTAGCTAGCTGAGAATTAAGATATTGACCCAGCAACAGTACCTAGAAGCACCATCCTCCACAACACCAGTGATTAATGACTTCTAATTAACAAGATCTGCCTTGAAAGAGATTATTGTTCAGGCCTATCTATTCTCACGGTGACACCTCTGCCTCCACCAGGGTCCTCTGACCCTCGCAGTGAGGTTTGGAGGAGCGCTGCTTCTGTATATACTGGTATTAATAGCTATGCTGGGTGGAATATGGTGGTGGAAGCTTAGCGTAGTTAAAGCTCCTCGGTCCAGTCCTCAGTGGGCTCTTGACCTCCATCACTAAGCTAGATACAGTATGGTACGGTGTCCGTGGACAATTCAAGGAATTGCAATTTAATAGAGTAAATAATATGTGAGATGTAGCCAGAATAAACTATTAAAAAAAGTATTCTACCGTATGTACAGTGTACAGTGTTTCTATATGACCTTCTCAGTGAGGCCTGAATGTGAAATATTTGATACCCAGAAATCACTCCCTTTCCATGACCTGTGAAATAATTAGAACAACAACATTTTTCGCAATTCCATTTACACTGAGAGAATTGAATTTGTGAGTAATGTAGACATTTTGGGGCGTTCCTCCTGCTCCCTGCAGGTTGTCCGGTGGTACCGCAACTGTCCCTTTTCAGTAACCGGCTCAGACAGAGCCACAGAATGAGGTCAGTCGGCTGTCTGGGAGAATTTGAAATGGTCTGTTCCAAGAGATGTCGTAGAGAGAACCACAGCGTGACTCATAGAGAGCCATTTTATTAAACGGACTGCAAGTCCTTATCAGACGTTAAATAAGGTCTTTCATATAAATGTCTTCTTCGAACGCATTGATGCAATGGTCTTTTTGTTTTAGTTCAGTCTACTCAATGTTCTTAGACTTACTGTCTATCTGCCTGGATGTAGATATGGAGAGAACAAAATACAATGGATCTCACTGTCGAATAGGAATACTAAGGACAAAGGTTTTTGAACTGGGGTTATAGATATGGAATTAATGAACTAATGTTATTTGGACGTCTTCCAACTTCTGGCCAAATGTGGGAAATGTGTCTACATTTTCAGATTCTACCTCAACGTTTACCAAGATGAAGTGGACTCTGTCGTAGTCCTTCAGACCTGGCATTGAGAATGACTTCAGTCGCTCCATAAAGAAAACCTATTGCTCATGTAGTGCACTTCTGTAGACCAGAGCCCTAGTCTAGCCTAGCCTATTACATAGTATATAGGGAATAGGATGTCATTTCAAATTTGCCCTGAGTCACATAGTGAAGAAAGCCAAACCCCTGCCGGCCCAGCTACATTAATGGAACCTGCCAATAACCCCACCACCATCTAATAAAACCTAATTGATTTATCTCTGAAATTCATCCTCCACACTAGTCAGAGCGAAATTATTTCCATGATTTTGTTGCTTTGGGGGTAGTGGCGATGAGTCAGTGGATCCATTCCCCCTGGCCTGCTGCTTAAGACGGAGCATCTTGCTGGTGGTAAATCAGCAGCTTCTGAGGAAATCACACTCTTGTTCTGTCACATTATGTTCTTCTGTATGCCAGGCCTGCAGTTTAGCTTACCCTTTGGCCAAATCAAGTTTATTTTTATCTTGCTGAATTATAGCCTAGTATTTTTTTCTCTTGTTTTAGGTTCTGTGAAAGTATGGATTTGAGTACTGTGTATTCCCAAACCCTGCTGAACATTAAAGTGTATTGTCGGATGAGCATATTAGATATGCATTTTTTAAATCAATTTTGTTGGAATGTCAACTCTATAACAACATGGGTCTTTCTTTGTCTGTCTACGTGTGTGTCTGTTTATCTGTCTGTCTGTGTTTTGCCAGGTGCCTTCGATAAACGGTCAGATCGGCGGTCCGGTGCGAGGCCAGATGACATCGTGCCAGGCGCCAATGGCCCGCCACCCCTCCAGAGAGCAGCTCATTGACTACCTGATGCTCAAGGTCTCCCATGGCCAGCAGCCCCAGGGGCCCCCACCACGGGCCGACCACGACACACTGCAGCAGGAGGTAGGGTGGGGAAATGGATGGATGGAGAGAGAGAAGAGTTACAGTTAAACAATGCTCCCCATCCCTAATCCTGGAGAGCTATAGGGTGTTTAGCCCACAACTACAAACCTCATTCATCATGAAAACCTTGATTAACTAAGATTAGGTCAAACTCATATGTGTGTTTTTAGTGCTGGGCTTGAACTACACCATCTAGGAATAGGGTTGATGACCACTGGGTTAAAGCATGCATAGCATTTCACTTAATAGTTGTTATTGGTGGTTTGGTTGTTACATAAATTACCTGGCTAGACTGAATCATAAAGACTTATCTGTCACTGGGATGTACAGTGCGTTCAGAAAGTATTCAGACCCCTTGACGTTTTCCACATTTAGTTACGTTACAGCCTTATTCTAAAATTTATTAAATAGTTTTTTCCCTCATCAGTCTACATACAATACCCCATAATGACAAAGCAAAAATGTTTTTTTGTTTTTTTTTAAAATTTTTGGCTAATTTATAAATAAAATAAACTGAAATATCATATTTACATAAGTATTCAGACCCTATACTCAGTACTTTGTTGAATCATCTTTGGCAGCGATTACAGCCTCGAGTCTTCTTGGGTATGATGCTACAAGCATGGCACACCTGTATTTGGGGAAGTTTCTCACATTCTTCTCTGCAAATCCTCTCAAGCTCTGCCAGGTTGGATGGGGAGCAAACGCTGCACAACTATTTTCAGGTCTCCAGAGATGTTTGATCGGGTTCAAGTCCGGGCTCTGGCTGGGCCACTCAAGGACATTCAGAGACTTGTCCTGAAGCCACTCCTGCGTTGTCTTGGCTGTGTGCTTAGGGTCGTTGTCCTCTTGGAAGGTGAACCTTCGCCCCAGTCGGAGGTCCTGAGCACCCTGGAGCAGGTTTTCATCAAGAATCTCTGTCTTTCCCTCGATCCTGACTAGTCTCCCAGACAGTGCCACTGAAAAACATCCCCACAGCATGATGCTGCCACCACCATGCTTCACCGAAGGGATGGTGCCAGGTTTCCTCCAGACGTGACGCTTGGCATTCAGGCAAAAGAGTTCCATCTTAGTTCCATCAGACCAGAGAATCTTGTTTCTTGTGGTCCTTTAGGTGCCTTTTGGCAAACTCAAGCGGACTGTCATGTGGAGTGCTGCAGAGATGGTTGTCTTTCTGGAAGGTTCTCCCATCTCCACAGAGGACCTTTGGAGCTCTGTCAGTGACCATTGGGTTCTTGATCACCTCCCTGACCAAGGCCCTTCTCCCCCGATTGTTCAGTTTGGCTGGGCGGCCAGCTCTAGGAAGAGTCTTGGTGGTTCCAAACTTCCATTTAAGAAGGATGGAGGCCACTGTGTTCTTGGGGACCTTCAATGCTGCAGAAATGTTTTTGTACCCTTCCCCAGATCGGTGTCTCGACACAATCCTGTCTCGGAGCTCTACGGACAATGCCTTCGACCTCATGGCTTGATTTTTGCTCTGACATGCACTGTCAACTGTGGGACCTTATATACATTTTTACATTTTAGTCATTTAGCAGACGCTCTTATCCAGAGCGACTTACAGTTAGTGAGTGCATCAATTTTTTCATACTGGCCCCCTGTGGGATTCGAACCCACAACCCTGGCGTTGCAAACGCCATGCTCTAACAACTGAGCTACACGGGACCATACCTATATAGACAGGTGTGTGCCTTTCCAAATCATGTCCAATCCATTGAATTTACCACAGGTGGACTCCAATCAAGTTGTAGAAACATCTCAAGGATGATCAATGGAAAACAGGATGCGCCTGAGCTCAATTTCGAGTCTCATAGTAAAGGGTCTGAAAACTTATGTAAATAAGGTATTTATGTTTTACATTTACATTCGCAAAAATGTCTAAAAACCAGTTTTTGCTTTGTCATAATGGGGTATTGTGTGTAGATTGAGGAACATTTAATATTTATTCAATTTTAGAATAAGGCTGTAACGTAACAAAATGTGGATAAAGGGGAAGGGGTCTGAATACTTTTCGAATGCACGGTATGTGACTCGTATTCAAATGTACAGTTTACAGTAAAGTCCCCTGTGAAGGTAGTAATGTAATGTGTCTGTTTTCCAGTTCCGTGTGAAAGTGGAGAAGAACCCAGAGTTGGGGTTCAGTATATCAGGAGGAGTGGGAGGACGGGGAAATCCCTTTCGTCCAGACGATAATGTATGTACACTCATCAGCCCTCTTATTTTTCCAGCCCACTGCATGTGACATTTAATCTAAGCACTTACACAATTGAGGCCTCTGTAAGGTTTGCATTATGTTAGTTGTTAACTGTATAGCAATTCAGTTTGTTACTGCATTTGTACGGATTCTGCAACAATCTATCAATCAATAAATAATGTCATGAGTGTTGTTAACCAGATGGGTGTGATTCGTCTCTCTCTCCTCTCTCAGGGCATCTTCGTGACAAGGGTCCAGCCTGAGGGACCTGCCTCCAAGATACTCCAGCCTGGAGACAAGATCCTCCAGGTAAACCCAATAATACCATTCCCTCTATGTCCCCATCACTATAAATCGATACTGTATCGATTATTTGCTGAACACGTTTACCTACTACAAAATACCTTACACATCAGAGCCAAAGTTGCCATCTTGGTGTTGAGCTATATCTCTCCTTGTTTCCCCCCAGGCGAACGGATATAGCTTTGTGAACGTTGACCATGGGAATGCCGTGGCACTGCTGAAGACGTTTCCCACCACTGTTGATATGATCATCGTCCGAGAGTTGGCGGCGTAGAGAGAGACAGGCGGGACTGTGGAGTGATGAACTCCAATCCTTCTTATTTTTATACATAGAGGGGCCTTGTCTATAAATAGAAGACCTGAACTGCTTTATGGTGAAGAGAACCTTTTAGAGCTTTTGGGATAACGGGGGCCAAACCACTGCATCAAGTCGACTTATTGGGGGAGGAGAGGGACCTGGGGGGGGTTGGAGGGGGGCAAACATCTGGAAGCATGCGTTGTCTACTTGGTCGTCTTAAAGAAGCCGTCACTGTGGGATAGCACGGTTATTTTTTACACAGAGGACGCTGCAGAGACGGTGTGTGCTCCAACGACACAGAGATTTTTTTCTGTAACGTTAGACTTTGTTTTTTTAAAGATAATAATTGACCTACATCAATACGGAGTTGTAGTTGCTGTAGTTGAGCATTAACTGTAGTTGACCACTAGAGGGCAGGGCTCCCTCTGTCTCTCTCTCTCGCTCTCTCTCTCTCTCTCTGCTGACATCTTATTTGCCCTTTTTAAATCATGTCTTTTTTTAATTTAAGAAGATGCTGAGACCACTTATTTGACCTAGGCGAGATTTGATCTGGGGGACAATGTTAGGTGCTTTCTTGTGGAGATGAATGTAGTGCTGGGTTGCGCTTTCAGAACGATGTTTAAGAATTTCCCCCCTGACTACTTGCAATTGTGACCATTTTTGACTGGGTTCTGTACATGGTGGATAGTTTAGAAGGACAATTCATTTGCCTCTGCCTCCATAAAACCTGTGAGCCACACACTGCATACATCCAGTATATACTAGGAGCAGTTCCATGGCACCACTGGCTTGGAATATCCCTCACCTGAAAAGACCACTGCCTGTGCCGTCACTCAACTCCTGAACAAAACCTTTCTAACAGACGAGGACACTCTGTCACTGAATCAACTACCCCGGTTGCTGACTGCTTGGATGCTGTAAAACGCTCTTTGTATGTGAAATGGAATTGGGACTGGGATATGGAACGGATCATGATATTTCTTTGTGGGGAAACTGACTGGGAGTAACAATAGAGGAATGTATTTGCTTGGCCTTAATTAGCCTAGCCAGGATGTGATGTGAGATAGTGGGTCAGGAGGCAGAGTGGTAATGTTAGGTCACCAAAACATGTTGAGACCATGGTCAGGTGTTGGGCAGGTGCTGGTGGGAGGAACGCCCTATTCCCCAAAGTGCGCTACATACTAGTGGTGCACTATATACAAAGGATATAGGGTGTCATTTGAGATGCAGCCTGTATCAGACTCCGAGCAGGTGTAGGCCTGGTCTCTGGGCCCCTTCCACTCATTTTGGTAAGATTCTAAAGGGCTTCTCCCACAAGGCAGCCATTGGTGACTAGAGAACACTCACACAATGCTTTGAGATTAAAAAGGGGTTTATGTCAGTCTAACATATTTTTGTTTAAGTGGGGGAAAACAACCATAGTTTGCCTTTGTGTATAAAAATCTTATTTTTAGACATCAAGCTAGGCTTTTCACTCTCTTTTTTTGTTGGGATAGTGTTGTTTCATGCATGGACTCTTTTCTTTACGCTGGGGGTGGGGGGGGGGACTGAGCTGTTAAGTGCCATAGACCTTGAACTGTTTGAACAAGGGGAGGGAGGGAGTGACTACCCTGAGACCCAAGCAATATTCACATATTTATCTTCACAACAAACTAAACACTCTCCTCTTGAGTACACCCACCTTACTCGACACAATGGTTTAATAGCAATAGTCAGAGGCTTTATTTTCAGTCAGAAAGACATCCGGTTGCATTTTTAAAAACCTATTTTTTAAAAACTGCAAGAAGAAAACTCTTTTAGAGATCGCTGATTGTTATACAGGATTTTATATTGTAAAGAATCTTTTCTAATGAAAAACAACATGGGGAGTTACATTACAGATCTTTTTAGCAAAGAAACTAAAATGTAAAAGTCTGCATTGTATAATAGTGAATGCTCTTGCGTCACTCAGCCCTAGGCTTACATATGTTGCAGGTTTTCCCAAACTTGACTGCTCAGAAAACCGTTCAAACCAACTGGTTACATGTATCTGTACAAACATGAATAACTTTTACCCCAGTGTAAAATAAACTCAATCAGAGCTGCAAAGTCATTTGTAATGTTTCTAATTGAATAGTGTAAAGTTATAAAAATGCTTTTAAAAGCTTTTATGCTATGTCCACTTGGTGTAATCAACAGTCTATAGATGTATGTGTTTGCATGAAGTCACCCAATGAATTGTCTATTTTGAAACCTTTAGAAATATTTCCTATAGAAAGGGAAACGATCCAATTCAAAGATATCTACAAGTTATGGCCCCACTGAACATTTTTTGTAAATGGATTGTAACGCAAACACAATAGTGACAGAGTGTATATAAAGTACTTATCAGAGATTGATAATTGTTTTTTCACAAAGTTAATGACATTGTCGTCATCCAAATCCTTCACAAATTTCTAATGGTATGCATGTAATCTACTGTACCTGTATGTAATTCAATGTTACTTTATGCATACACCTAAAGATTATACTCATGTTACTGTCAACTTGTGACTCAAATGGAAAACACTGTGTCAATGATGTTCGCTCCCCTTTTTCCATTTTGAATTCCAACTGAACATTGCCCCCAACTGAAACTGTCCTGTTTTTTTTTAAATCAACTGCAGACCAAGTGGCATGCTCATAACTGCAGATATTTGTCATTGGTCAATATTAGCCTAGAGAGGTAACATATTGACTTGTTAAGATTTCTCTCCTGCATTTCCCCCATCGCAAGATTACTGTCAGTACATCATGTTTTAAATTTGAACATTGTAATTATGCTTTTGTGCTGTTTTGTTGTGGGCACTGTGTTCTTTTACTTTCTATCTGGGAATTGGAACAATCTAATGAGATTTCTTGGGTCAAGTTCATATTTTTTAAAATATTTGTGGCAAAACAGTAAGAAAGAAAATAACTGTCCAATAGACGGTGGACGATCTGGGACTAAAACCTAGGGGGTCACCTGTTTGCCATATCCAAGAAAAACTGGTCTTCTCTTCACGCTCCGACCTTGTTTTTATTTATTTAGCTCAGTCTCCTGTGACTTTTTAGACATTACTAATCAAAATGTAAATACTTTTAAAAAAGTTAAATCAATTAATCATGGCATTAGTCACTCTTGAGTTTGTAAAACCAGCAATAAATTGCAATGCAAACGCAACCCTTTTAATGTATAGCTATTTCAACAGATTCTCTGGAAACAGCTACAGTAAGATGATTTATATGCATTTATTCAACATTCCAGATTTTGTATATAGTAAAACTGTTTCTGAGGTAACCTGTGGAAAATAAGAAATAAACTAATGCTCTTTACAATTGTTTCCTTCATTGAGTGACTTTCTCTCCTTTCTTTCCTAAAGGCTTGAATGTGGCAATTTCCCATGCCAGACTATATGACAGTAATATGTTGAAGATAGTTGTAAGAAATGCATCTTAATACAATACAGACATTTTAGGATTAAGAATATCAAAAAACAAAAAAACATATTTGGACTACATAATGCTAAACAAGGTTGGAATGCTGTTATATAAATTGAACAGAAGACAAGTAGTTAACAGCATGATCATTGCACAGGTGCCCCTTGTGCTGGGGACAATAAAAGGCTACTCTAAAATGTGCAGTTTTGTCATACAATGCCACAGATGTCTCAGGTTTTAAAGGAGTGTGCAATTGGCATGCTGACTGCAGGAATGTCCACCAGAGCTGTTGCCAGATAATGTAATGTTAATTTCTCTACACAATCCAACATCGTTTTAGAGAATTTGGAGGTGCGTCCAACCAGCCTCACTACCGCAGACCACATGTAACCACGCCAGTGCAGGACCTTCACATCCGGCTTCTTTACCTGCGGGATCGTCTGAGACCAGCCACCCGGACAGCTGATGAAACTGGGGGTTTGCAAAACCGAAGAATGTCTGCACAAACTGTCAGAATCCGTCGCAGGGAAGCTCATCTGCGTGCTCGTTGTCCTCACCAGGGTCTTGACCTGACTGCAGTTTGGCGTCGTAACCGACTTCAGTGGGCAAATACTCACCTTCGATGGCCACTGGCATGCTGGAGAAGTGTGCTCTTCACAGATGAATCCCGGCTTCAACTGTACCGGGCAGATATGCTGATGTCAACGTTGTGAACAGAGTGCCCCATGGTGGCAGTGGGGTTATGGTATGAGCAGGCATAAGCTAATGACAACGAACACAGTCTTTCTGGGTACGTTTCTAAGAGCTTTGCACACCTGGATTGTACAATATTTGTTCATTATTCTTTCAAACATTCTTCAGGCTCTGTCAAATTGGTTGTTGATCATTGCTAGACAACCATTTTCAAGTCTTGGCATAGATTTTCAAGCAGATTTAAGTCAAAACTGTAACTTGACACATGTAAACTGTTTTATGCAACATGCATGACATTTCTAATGCACGTCTGTGTTCTCTTGCAGCAATACACCACTCCCCTTCTCGTCCAAAGTGTGTTACATAAAGCATCGAGAGCATTTTCCAGTGTTGGCGTGGCTCAACATTTAACCAACACTGATTAATTTATTTAAAAAGCTTTGATAGTAGTCCCATGTGCGAAATGTGTGTATGCCCAAGTTTATTCAAGTGATGTTGTTGACATAATGAGTGTTACTGTGTAGTCAACATAATTCCTGTGAAATCATGTGGTCTTGTGGTTGGTCAAACCTGTGAAATTGTAGCTAACGTAAGTATCATACATTTAAATAGCAGGTAGACACGCAAATGTTTCTTTCCAGTGTATTTTATTGTGTAACATTTAAAAATATATATACAGTACCAGTCAAAAGTTTGGACACACCTACTCATTCAAGGGTTTTTCTTTATTTGTACTATTTTCTACATTGTAGAATAATAGTGAAGATATAAAAACTATGAAATAACACACATGGAATCATGTAGTAACCAAAAAAGTGTTAAACAAATATAATATATTATTT